GATAGGGTGAATAGTCAAGGTCTTTTTCCCAGGGTAGGGGAGTCCAAAATTAGAGGGCATAGGTTTAAGGTGAGAGGGGAAAGATATAAAAGGGACCTAAGGGGCAACTTTTTCATGCAGAGGGTGGTGAGTATATGGAATGAGCCGCCAGAGGAAGTGGTAGAGGCTGGTACAATTCCAACATTTAAAAGACATTTGGAAAGTTTAGAGGGATATGGGCCAAATTCTGGCAAAAAGGAACTAGACTAATTTAGGATATCTGGTCAGCATGGACAAGACAGACCGAAGGGTCTATTTCCACGCTGTACTACTCTATGACTCAGTGACTTCCAGATGACATTTGATAATGTCTGACACAAGAGACCATTAACTAAGGTAAAAGTGTGCAGAATTGAGGGCAAATTACTGACATGGCTGGGAAATTGGTTGAGTGGCAGGCAACAGAAAATGGTGATGATGGGTAGGTACTCAAATTGACAGGATGTGACCAATGGTTTCCACAAGGATCTGTGTTAGGGCCTCAATTATTCACATTAATTATTAATCACTTGGATAATTGCATATAATGTCATATATCCACATTTGCTGATGGACAATATGAATGATAGCGTGAAATTACAAAAGAATAATGAAAGACTAAGTAAATGGACAAAACTGTTGCAGATGGAATTCAATGTAATCAAGTGCAAGATTATCCATTTTGGACCCAAAAAGGATAGATCAGCATACTTCCTAGATGGTGTAAAGTTAAATATAATGGATATCCAAAGAAACATAGGGGTTTGGGTGAATAGACCTATAAAAGTGCCAAGCACATTTGCAGAAAATAATCAAAATGGCCAATTGAATGCTGGCCATTAATTCTAGAGGACTGGAGTACAAGGATGCAAATGTTATGCTAGAGCTATACAAACCCTGGTTAGACCCCACTTGGAGTACTGTTGGCAGATCTGGGCACAACACCTTTGGAAGGATATATTAGCCTTGGAGGGAATAAAATGTAAGTTTACAAGAATGATAGCTGGATGGGGGGAGGTGATGGCCTAGTGGTATTATCGCTGGGCTATTAATCCAGAGACCCAGATAATGTTCTGGGGAACTGCGTTCAAATCCCACCACAGCAGATGGTGGAATTTGAATTCAATAAATATCTGGAATTAAGAATCTAGTAATGACCATGAATCTATTGTTGATTGTCAAAGGAAAAACCCATCTGGTTCACTAATGTCCTTCAGGGAAGGAAGGAAGGAAACTGCCATCCTTACCTGGTCCAGTCTACATGTGACCGCAGACCCACAGCAACATGGCTGACTCTTAAGTGCCCCTCTGGGCAATTAGGGATAGGCAATAAACACTGGCTTAGCCAGCAACATCCTCATCCTGTGAATGAATAAAAAAAAACTCTATGGGTTATGTGGAAGGCATATACAAATTAGGCCTGTTTTATTTAGAATTAAGGGGTGATCTGATCAAAGTCTTCAAGATATTAACAAGAAAAGGCAAGGCAGATAAAGGTAAACTATTCCCACTGTTTGGAGATTCTAGAACTAGGGGTCATGTTCTTAAAATTAGGGCAAGACCATTCAGGAGAAATGTTAGGAAGTACCTCTACACAAAATCTGGTAGAGGTTTGGAACTCTTTTCCAGAAACATTAGTTAGCACTTCATCAGTTACTTTTAGATACTTTTTGTTAAGCAAAGATATTAAAGGATATGGACCAAAGGCAGGTATTTGGAATTTGGCTACTGATCAGCCATCATCTTATTGAATGGCAGAGCAGGCTCGAGGGTCTGAATGATGTAATCCTGGTCCTATGTTCTGATGTAAATACACCCAGGACAGGGACAACACAGGGTTAGATACAGAGTAAAGCATCTTCTACACTGCCATCATCAAATGCTCTCAGGACAGGGACAACACTGGGTTAGATACAGAGTAAAGCTTCCTCTACACTGTCCCCCATCAAACACTCCCAGGACTAGGACAACACAGGGTTAGATACAGAGTAAAGCTACCTCTACACTGCCCTCATCAAACACTCCCAGGACAGGGACAACAAGGATTAGATACAGAGTAAAGGTTTCTCTAAATTGTCCCCATGAAACATTCCTAGGTCAGGCATAGCACAGGGTTAGAGGCAGAGTAAAGCTCCAACTACATTGTCCTGATTAAACACTCTTAGAACTGGGACAGCACAGGATTAGATACAGAGTAAAGCTCGCTCTAAACGGTCAGCCTACATTTCCTGGTTTACATCTCAATAGGTCTTTCTCTCTGCGGAACAAATAAATAAGCAAATGCCAGTGAGAGACTTTAAATGCCGATTGTCGATCAATAGGTTAATGTGAGAAAACCAAACAAGTCCTTAACCCTTTCGTTGCTATCCCTCTATACGTACCTGCACTGGGGAACCTCACTGTCACTGTTCAACCAGAGGGAGGCAAATGAACAAGAGATTCTTTCAAGTTGCTCTAATTTCTCACTGAAGTGAGGCAGGCAGCTGAGCAAAAGGAGTTAGCCTTTCAGTGGAGACATCATGCTTGTGGGAAGGTGCACCCTTTATTAACCCATTGCTTCCCGATGCAGGCAATAAGGTGAGGTTAGCTGTGTGAAGTTACACATTGGTGTTGGGAAGGCAGTCACCATCCGAGGCGAGACCGTCCGGGGTGTGTTCTCAGGTTGGAACATCAGTCCTAATCCTGGCACGGGCCACCTCTGCTCTCCAGGACCGGTTTGGAACATTATCCGAGGGTTTTCATTCTGCGGTGCGGGGCATTGGTATCCCTCTTTGCGCTGTTAGAGAGATTTTTGTGTCCGGCCAGTGCATGCTGAGCGTGCACTGACTCCTGAAGAGAACCAGCCGAACGAGGACCTTCGTAATTCTTAACGGTAACCTTCACAGATGGCGAGATTCCAGCTCAGCCAAACGTCCTGCAATCTCCAAGTATCCTGGCCTCGAACGCTCAGTGAGCAATGCAGGAATTTGTTCCTAACTTCCCCGAGAGAGATCTAGCTCCTCTCTGGAGCTCAGTTCTTGGAGTAATGCAAATTGAACAGCTCAGGCTGACAGACAGGATGAGATTCCTCCTCATGTCTGTCTTTTTTTTTGCAATGGAATCTTGTTCCATTGCAGTATCCCCAGGGATAGGCCCAACTTAGTATTATTCAATATCGGTCCTGCAGAGTCAGCACTGGAACCCAGCTGCATCGCCCTCTGATTGATGCAGTGTTTGGAAATATAGATTTTCTTTTAACAGAGCCTTAAAGCACAGCAATATGCAAATAAAGCTGCAAAGAGTGAAGGCATGGCTGCAGGATAACAGCAGCACTGGGGCTGGTGCAGTTTGGGCACCATCAGAGCAGTTTTATTAATGCGGACTTCTGTTGTCAGGGCCGTGCTCACCTAGGGTACCGTCATCATCAGGATCCATATTTTTGATTCATTCACAGGATGAGGGTATCATTGGCTAGGCCACCATTTACGGCCATCCCTAATTGCCCAGAGGGAAGTTAAGAGTCAACCACATTGCTGTAGGTCTGTAGGCCAGACCAGGTAAGGACAGCAGATTTTCTTTCTTGATGGCTTTTTCCAACAATGGATTTACAGTCACCATTGATTCCAGATATTTGTTTGAATTCAAAATCCACCATCTGCTGTGGTGGCATTCAAACCCGGGTCCCCAAAACATACCTGAGTGTCTGGATTAACAGCTGAGTGATAATACCACTAGGCCATCACCTTATCCCTTTGAGCCTTGCTCAAACCCTTTCTTAGCTTTTAAGGTTGCTTCAAGCTCTTCCTGCAGCCAAACATTAGTTCATCTCTCTTTATTCAGCTCTGTGTCCAGTTTTGTTTTGTGATAATCAGTCCAGTGAAGGGCTTCTGGATTTTTATTTTTACCGTGCCACACAAATACACATTGTTGGCCTCTTGCTGTGGGGACTAATATTGGAAATGAGTGATAACAGTGTTGGAGCTGGACGAACACAGCAGGCCAGGCAGCACCAGAGCAGCAGGAAAGCTGACATTTTGGGTCGGGATCCTTCTTCAGAAATGAGGGAGGGGGAAGGGTGCTCTGAAATAAATAGAGAGAGGAGGAGTGGGGCTGGGAAAGGTAGGTGGGATGGTGATAGGTGAGTGCAGGTAGGCAGTGGTGGAGATTGGTCATTGAGGTGGGAAGAGCGGATAGGTGGGAGAGAAGATGGACGGGTTGTGTCAAGTCAAGGAGGCGGGGATGAGAGGGAGGGTTGGTCATGGGATGAGGTTGGGGGTGGGGAGATCTTGAAACTAGTAAAGTCCACATTGAGACCATTGGGTTGTAGGCACCCAAGGAGGAATATGAGGTCCTCCAGTTTGTCGGTGGCATCATTGTGACACTGGAGGAGGCCCAGAATGGACATGTCATCCAGGGAGTGGGAGGGGGAGTTGAAGTGGTTCGTGACTGGAAGGTGTTGTCGTTTGTCGCGAACTGAGTGCAGGTGCTCTACAAAGCGGTCTCTGGGCCTCCGCTTGGTCTCACCAACGTAGAGGAGGCCACATCGGGAGAGGCAGATGCAGTAGAAATGTGAGTGTTGTCTTTGTGAGTTTTGGTGAGGAGGAGGCTAGCTGTCAGCCTCCCCTGCACCAGGACTGAGCTTGGGGGTTGGTAGTGGTGTCTGATTCTCCCTTACTGTATTGTTTGAGGTTACGCGTTGAGAGAGTGAGGCATGTCTTTGTTGGTCTCTGTTCTCCTTAACAGTTCAGTCCTGTGGAGGTAATTAGGTGGCTTAGGTTTTAGGTCCAATTGTTGATATATGAGTTTAATTGAGGTACTTAATTAAACTTTTGCTCCTCCCAATTTGAGAGGACACTCAGGCTACATAATTGTAATAGTGGACTTCCAATTCCTTTTTCATTGTTGAAGAAACTGTCTGTATTTTACAGCTATGGAACAGTCCATAATTCCCAATGCTTTGGCTTCTGACAGTCTCTTTCTCACACCCTCCCCACTCTCTTTAGTCCACCTTGGCTCTGCTATGGAAGTTATGGTATCACCTTACATCATTGGGCTGAATGGTACATCAGCCAAACTGAGCTGCACCTTCAACTCCTGTTATGACGTGAGTGAAAAGCAATTCTCCTTAAATTGGACCTACTCTGAATGTGACAACTGCACTGAAGATGTGGTAAGTGATTTGCTCTTTGCTGTATAATTTAATTGGGAGATGGAAGGTATTTTCATTTTGGAAGAGTGTCTCCTTGAGTATCAACCCATCTCCAGACTTCCTTGGCTCCCCAAAGTCCTTGAAGATGTTGGTGCCTCACATATCCATGCCCATTTCTCTCAATTCCCTGTGTTGCTCTCTCCATCCAGTTTCTGTCACTTGTGGTAGCCATGAAACTGCTCTTTACAACGTCACAAATCATATCCAATATTCCTGTGACCATGGTAAACTATTCCTCTCTCTCTTAGTTGACGTGTCTACAGCTTTGCACCACACAATCCTCCAGCAAGTCTCCTCTGTCATCCACTATGAGGGAGTGGCCTACAGTGGGTTCAGCTGCATAATCATACCATAATTTTATGTAGTCACAGCATCTCCTGTAACAGTTCCTCCCCCCACTCTCGCAGTGCTTCCCCTGGAGCTGCACAAAGATCTAACCTTGTCACTCTCCCAGTCATCATCTACATGCTGTCCTTCAGTAACATAATCTGAAAATACACCATCCAGTTCCATGTTCACGCTGGAAACACTGAGTTCTGTTTCAGCCCTTCTCTCAAAATCACTGATTTGTCAGACTTCTTGTCCAACATCCAGTCAAGAATGAGCCAGATTTTCCTGTTAATAAACATCAGAAAGAGCGAAGTGATTGTCTCTGTCTCTCACCTGAGGCTGTTCACAAGCTCCATATCCTTTGCGGTCCTCCTACTCAAATCCTGTTCATCACAAAGACCACTACCCTCACCTTCCTTGTGTCATCTGTCTGCACCTGTCTTAGATCATCTACTACTGAAATTGTCGACCCTTGCTTTTGTAACTTCCGAACTCAACTATTCCAAATGTTAGCCTTCCCACACGTCACCTTTTATAAATCTAAGCCCATCCAAAACATAATCTATTTTTTAAACTTGCATTCATTATTCACCTCTGACTAACTTGGCTCCTGATTCAGCCTCTGATCAATTTTAAAATTCCCATCTTAATGTTCACGTCACTCGTAACTACATCCCTTCCCAAAGTTGCATCCTTGAGATCCACCACCCTTTGAGATCTCTGTGCTCCTTCAATTCCAGCCTCATTTTGTGCACCCCTCACTTTCGGATATTCACAGACAGCTGTGCCTTCAACTGCCCAGACTCGAGGCTGTGGAATTCCGTCCCTAATGTCTCCACCTTTTAGGCTGGCTTCTCGTCGCCGCTTTGGTCGAGCTTTTGGTTATATTCTTCACATTATCTTCTTCCTTGCCTTGGGATCAAGTTTACTTTGATCGTGCCCCTGTAAAGCACAAAGAGTTGTATTTATTGCCTTAAAAGCACTGTATAAATGCAACTTCTTGATAATGACTGTGAACACCACGTTTAAGACCAGCCAGGATGGTCTAGTTAGATGGATACAGTGAGACAAATATGTCACAAAATTGTTACAACTCCAAAGAAGGCCATTCAGCCCATAGTGTGTACACTTGCATTCTGAGCTTTTAACAATGCCAGCCTCCTGTCTTTTTTCCCATAACCCTGGATTTTGTTTCTATTTAAATAATCATTTAATATCCCTTTTGAATGCCTCAACTGAACCTGCCTCCACCACACTTCCAGGCAGTGCATTCCACACCCTAACTACTCACTGGCTGAGTTTTTTTTCTCACCTCGTATTTGCTTCTTCTGCAAAGCACTTTAAAAACGGTGCCCTTTGCTTCTTGCTCCATTACAAGCAGGAACATGGTTTCCCTAACCACTCTGCACAAACTACTTGTGGTTTTGGAAACTTCAATTTGATCTCACCTTAACCTTCTCCTATCTAAGGAAAACAGTCCCAACAGTCTCACTCCTGGAACCATTCTCAGAAACATCCTCTGTGCTCTATCCTATGTATTTAAATGCTTCCTAAAGTGTGGCACCCAGAAGTATATACTATACTCCATCCGATGTGTAACCATTGTCTAACATACTTTCATTATAGCCTCCCTGGTCATGTACTTTATGCCCATATTAACGCAGTCTGCTTACGGCGTGCTTTAACCAGCTCTCTCTACCTGCCCTACCACCTTTACTAACATATGTATACGTACACCCAGGTCTCTCTGCTCCTGCGTACACTTTAGGATAGTACCCTTTGTTTTTTTGCTGTTTCTGCATGTTCGTTGTACCAAACTGCATCAACCCCCATGAAGGGGTGCTGTGATTTTCCTGGTGGCTGTAGTCTGCTGTAGATCTTGGGGCAGACCATAATGTCTCCCTTAGCAACAACAATTTGCATTTATACAGTGTTATCAACAGAGACAAATACTTTTTGAGGGCTTTTCATTGGAATGAAACAAGATTCAGCAGTGAGCCACATAGAGAGTCATTAGGGCTGTTGACCAATAGCTTGAAGGTAATAAGCTTTCAGGAACATTCCTTAGAAGGGCAGCAGGAACTGGAGAAGCAGAGAAGGTTGGGAAATAAATTCCAGAGACTCAGGTCTCAGCATCTGCCAATGGTGATACTGTGAAAATTGTGAATGACAGATTGGAAGCACCAAGATCTCAGAAGTTTGTAGGACTGAAGGTTATTGCAGAGTTTGCAAGTGTGAGGCCACGGAGGAATTTGACGACAAGGATGAGAATTTTCACGTTGGCTCCCAGTCATGCAAAACTCCATGCATATTTCTCTTTGTAGGCACAGGGGTCATGGTTGAGTGGGAATTGGTGTGTATGTTAGCATACTGGTTGCAGTGTTTTGGATAAGTTCAGGCAGAGTTTTTGGGTCAAGAAAAGACTTCCAGTGGAGATGAATTGACAAAAGCTCCCACACAACCATTTACCTTTTTCTCTTTTCTTTCCCCCACAACCCTATAGCTTGTCCAATTCCGGCGCAAGGTTATCATCCCCAGAGATGACCGCTTTGCAGGCAGGGTGGAGTGGTCAGGGAACCTCAAAAGGAACGATGTCTCTATTACAATTCACGACATCCAGCTCAGTGATGAAGGCTTTTACAACTGTTCTGTGTTAAATCCACCTGACAGACATAACGGGTGGGGATTAATCCACCTGCGAGTGGTCACAGAAGGTATTGTAAAATAATGTTGTCGTCTCCATCACTTTCTGTCCCATCTTTGACTTGCCTGCACATCCCCTTTCTGTGACTGTCCATTGCATTTTCTCTCTTTGTAGTAATACTTTCTGCTCTTCTGTGTTGTGTTTTCAATATTGTCCCCCCCACCGCTGACTAACTATCTGTGTAAACAAAATTTTGGATTTAATGCAGATTTAGAAGTGGTTATCTGATTCTCGAAGAGACAACAAAGAAGGTCAGCATGGTGGCTCAGTGGTTAACACTGCTGCCTCACAGTGCCAGGGATCTGGGTTCGATTCCAGCCTCGGGTGACTGTCTGTGTGGAGCTTGCATATTCTCCCCGTGTCTGTGTGGGTTTCCTCCGGGTGCTCCAATTTCCTCCCACGGTCCAGGGGTGTGCAGGCGAGGTGGATTAGCCATGGGAAATGTGGGATTATGGGGATACGGCCATGGTCTGGGTGAGATGCTCTTCAGAAGGTCGGTGCAGACTCACTGGGCTGAATGGCCTCTTTCTGCACTGTAAGGATTCTATGAAAATTAAAATAAATTTGAACCTCCTACTTGACAAGGCGTGAGTTGTTCCACAAAACAGAACTGTTGAAGTTTGGCAGGAGGATGAGGAGAAAGCTGCCTCTGGGATTGAAGCTGGGCTCACTCCCTGACAGCAGAAGTCTTGTCTCTCTGATGACTGGGACGTAACCAGTTTCATCCACAGCTACTCAGCGCTCTCCAGGCCTTCTTTTTAACCCCACCTCTCATCCTTGTAAACCTCAGCTCATCCAAAACTCTGCTGCCCATTTCCTGACTTTCATCAGGTCCCGTTCACTCATCACCTCCTTATTCATTTTCCTAATCCTTGTCTGCCAAAGCCTCCTGTTTAATATTCTCAGATTTTCTATCTCTCTTTTTCTCTGAAATCTTCTCCATCTTGTCACCCTTCAAGGTCTTAGCCCTACGATCCTGTCCTTTGCTGTATTCCTTATACCCTTCGCTCTGGCAAGGTTGTGCCTTCAGTTGCCAAAACGCTGGCATTCCTTCCTTAAACATGTCCAACTCTTTATCCTTTGTGAGGGCATTCCTTAAAATCTACCTTTTTGACCAAGCTTTTGGTCCTCTGTCCTCGTATCTCCTTACATGGCTCACTGAAACCTCAGGACATTGGTAGTAGCATGAAGCTTTAGTCCACAATGTACTGTAGGCCTCTTTCTCCATTAGAGAGAAAGAGGCAGAGACCACTGTTTCTGTAAAGATTGAGGCTAACTACTGCACAGGCTGAGGTGAACAAGCAGGATCTCCAGGAACTATCATGGTTGGTACAAGGATTGAATCTGTGCTTTCGGCTTTATCTTGCATCGCTCTCCAGCCACCTCAGCTAACTCACCCCCTTACTATATCAAAGGTGCTGTACAAATGCAAGATGGCATGTACATTCAATTCCAATGTTTGCTCCTATATTTGTTTTTCTGCTCATAGTCTATCTATCTCAGTGGGTGGCTGGTGCTGTTAACATGGGGGTGTGTGAGCACTACCTTCAAATGCAACAATTGGAACACAGGGATTTTAGAATTAGAATTAGAGTTAAGATTAAGTTTATTTTCGTGTGTACTCAAGTTACAAAAGAACAAGAGTACAGTGGAAGTGTACAATGTTCCCAACATACGGCGCTATCTTAGGTACAAATCTTAGCTACAAAAAATAGAAAAAGTGAAGAAAAAAAAGTTACACTACATTACAGATATATGTGGTATATGTTAGGAAAGTAAGAAATAAAGCTAAAAAGGTAGACATTACAGATTTCTGTGCATCTATAAAAGAAACATTGAGCTCCAGTTGATTTCTGGTAGGTCCCTTCCACAGCCAGTATGACATCTGACTATCTGGTACAATTCAGAGTTAACACAGTGTGAAGCTGGTGGGACACAGCAGGTCAGCAGCATCAAAAGAGCAGGAAAGTCGACGTTTCGAGTTTACACCCTTCATCAGGACTCTGGTACAATTTGTCACTGATGGAATTCTGAACTGACTTACTGCTGATCACAAAACCCTGTCAAAATGCTCTTATTTAAACATGTAACAGAAAGCCTCTTGTTCCTGGATGTGTTTGTTTTCTCCAAATGTGTGCATTTGCCACAACACTTCCTCTGTCCATTGTAGGAACGTTTCCCTCACCCAGTGATATTTACCTTGCAGTTCCCCCTGAGCGTGACTCCACAGTGGCTGTGATTATAGGGGCGTCAGTTGGAGGCTTTCTGGCTATCGTCATTCTGGTCTTAGTCATTGTGAAGTGTGTGAGGAGGAAAAAGAAACAAGATCATCATTCTGAAGATCAGAAAACAGAAGAGGAAGGAAAAACAGATGGCGAAGGCAATCAGGAAGAAGACGAAAAGTAAGGCTCTCTGTCAGAACCAATTATTAGCTTATACTTCCTCAGACAGCACCTTCCAAACCCTTGACCACTTACATCTGTGAGGACAAAGGCAGCAGATATATGGGAACACCACCACCCGCAAGATCCCCTCCAAGCCCTCACTGTCCTGACTTGGAAATATATCACCGTTCCTTCACTGTTGCTGGGTCAAAATTCTGGATTTTTCCTTCCTGATAATGTATTCACCCGAGCCAGCGATGTCCACATCCCCAGGGGCATACAAAAATGAGTGAAAGAAAAGGTGTTGGCTATGGCTCAGTGGAAACTCTTATTTCTAAGTTCTTATTTCGAAGTTCTAAGAACTCTTATTTCTAAGTTTGACCCAGCGATAATGAAGAAATGCCGATTTATTTCCACATCAGAATGGTGAGTGGCTTGGAGGAGAACTTGAAGGTGGTGGTGTTCCCATGCATCTGCTGTCTTTGTCCTTCTAGATGGAAATGGTCCTGCCTTTAGAAGGTGCTGTCTGAGGATCTTTGGTGGATTTCTGCTGTGCATCTTGTAGCTGGTACACACACTGCTGCTATTGAGCGTTGGTGGTGGAGGGAGTGGATGTTTTTGGATGTGGTGTTAATCTAACAGGCAGCTTTGTTTTGGATGGTGTCAAACTTCTTGAGTGTTTTCAGAGTTGCACTCATCAAGTGGGGTAGGGTAATCCATCACAATCCTGCTTTGTGCCTTGTAGAATGTGGACAGACTTTGGAGAGTCAGGAAATGCAGAATTCTTAGCCTCTAACCTGCTCTTGTAACCACAGTAATTATTTGACTTGTCCAGTTCAGTTCCTGGTCACTGATAACCCAATCCCCACTCTCCAATATATTGACAGTTGCTGTTTACAGGAGACTACTCTGAAAGGCACTATATCAATGCAAGTCTTGCTTGTCCCTCCTATCACAGAAGAAGACACGTAATGTTGAGCGCAAGAGAGCATGTACATTGAATTATTTTTGTTGTAATTGTCAAGATCCCTGACATTGAGATTGAAGTTCATGCATTGTTTTGGTCCAATGCCATTTCTGTTGTTTTTTTTTCCACAGGCAGCACTAAACCAACACAGGAACTGTGAGCAAAGGTGGAGGCTGACAATGATCTGCCTCTGGTGAGAACTGTTGGTCTCCGTGCTTCGTGGGATATTTCCGACTCGTCCCTGTGTTTGATCCATTGCCTCGTCACATGAAACATGAGCGCTGAGATAATTCTGCCGTGCTGTGGAAACCATGCTAGCTCCGCCATGCATGTCATCAACCTCCAAATCACACATAGGTGTAACTGGAAAATACAGAAGTACCCAACGAGACCATAAGCTTCACACCATCGCTGTGTATATTGCACTACAAATCATGCCAAGTCTTCTATCAGTGTGGTGATTTCTAACTGAGGATATCAATTGTGCATGTTTCAACGGAACAGCAACACTGTACCTTCCAGTACCAATAGTGCACACCCAGGCTGATTGCTGCATGGCTTTCTAACACACTGGTGAGGGTAACTTTAACCTAATCCACTCGGCAGCATTCCCAAGGGATTGGGTGCAATGTTGGTTTTACATCTCTCTCAAAATCAGCCTTCAGTTGGAAGTAAAATCAGGTGAGCTACAAAGCCAGCAAACAGTGCAAGACTAGGGTATCTTGAGGAGATACAAGTGAACAGATCATTAAAATGCCATGAACAAGGACAGAAAATGATGGAAAATGGTTTTAGAATGTTGGCCTATGTATCCCAAGGAGCTTACTGCAAGTGGGTAGAAGTCGTGGTTAAACCACTCCTGGAGACATTGTAAACTTTTCTGGACATAGTGCCCTCGGTTAGATGTTGACCTTAGGGCAGCTGGCAGTGTAGATTTCCCAGAAGGATACCTGGATTCGAAGGGTTAAATCACAGGGAGAGCCTGCACAAACATGGCTAGGAATTTGGATGGTTAAGGACTGACTTGATCAAAGTTCTCAAGATATTAAGGGCAGCAGATAGCGTTGAGAGAGAGAAGCTATTTTTCATTGGTTGTGAGCTTAGGGCATAGTCAAAAAATGGGAGACTGATCTTTCAGGAGAGAAATTAGGAAACATTTTAACACATAAAAAGGGTGGTTGAAGTTTGGAATTCTTTTCCACAAACAGAAATTAATGCTACATCTATTGTTAATATTAACTTTTGATAGATTTCTATTAACTGAAGGCATTAAAAGATGTGGAACAGGCAAAGACAGAGTTAGTTAACTCTAATTAGTTATGGAGTTAATTGTAGTTCTGCTATGTTCAGACAGAAGTTTTTGATAGGGTTCTTATTGAATGGCCTCAGGGCTCAAGAGACTAAATGGCCTCTTCCTGTGCACCCAATCCCCTGTTTCCATTGGGCGGGTAAGGTCAAAATTGCCCTCAAGATTAATATTGTTGTTGACTTTGTTTCTTATTAAACAATGCCACAAAACATCTGCTGTAAAAACTTGGGAGCTAATGTCTGTACTGATATGGTTAACAGGTCCTGAATGTATTACGGTGTACAGTGTTTTATTGTCCACAATCCTTGTAAGTCTAAGAGTAGGGAAAACTCTGAAAATGGAGGTTTAGACATGGTGGTTGTCAATTGGCCACTTCAAAACATCTACTGCCGCCTTTCTCCCTTGGAAGAAGAGAGAGTGAAGGCTGTTTTCATGTGCAGGATGTATGGGTAATTTTGTGTCGAGGAAGTAAATTAATTCAGTCTTGTACTGCGAGGACCAATCCTTGAACAGAAAAGAACATTTTTGGAACAGTTTTTCAGCAGGATTAGAATTATTGAAGTCAGAATATATTGACTGGTCAAAAAATAGTCTAAATTTATTATTCTGGTCATCAACGGGGGAGTGCTACAGAAGGATTTTCACAGTCCTCTGGGAATGACCAGGAACTTCCCACAATCAGGAATTCCTATCCCAAGTGCTGCCTCCAGTAGCTTGATAATCTCTGATTTAATGATCTCACTGCTTTGTGTCGACTGGAATAGCAGATCTGTCTGTTAATGGTCAACTGTTACCCAGCAGTAGGAGCCAGAAACAGATGAATCTGTTTTTTGTTTTAAACGGAATTATTTCCAAACCATTCCCATGGAGGTCGTCAGCTGTTCCTGCTCAAAGCCATCATAGACATGGAGCTGAAAGCAACCAAGGGGCAAGGTGGCTCTGTAGTCTGACAGGAGGAACAGAGACTGGGAAGTGGGATCTTGGTGAGGGGAGAGGGGAATGTGAGTGGGAAAGGGGACACTGGGGAATGAGGGCTTGGAATCTTGGGGGCAGTGGAAATTGAGGATTTTTGGGCTTGGAGATGGGGGCTCAGAGGAGAAGAGAACTCAGGAATGGGGGGGGGTCAAAATCTTGGGGACACTGGAGAATTGGGATTTTTGGGAGTAAGAAGGAGAGGGGAGCTCAGGAGAAGGGGACAGGGGAATGTGGGGTCAGAGCAAGGTAGAGAGAGGGAGGTAGGGGATTCAGGCTCAAGGGATAGAGAGAGGCTGGGGAATGGGGACTTTGGGAAGTGGGACACTGGGGAATGAGAGCTCAGGATCTCAGGGTCAACTGGGGACTTGGGGCTTTTTGGGGAGTGGGAGAGGAGGTGAGGGCTCAGGGGAGATAGAGCCTGGGGGCCTTCACTGTGATGAAGAGAGAAAGGATCTTCTCACTGATGGAGTGAGCAATTGGGAAATGGAAAACCAATTTTTTTTTGATACAGTGCCTTTCAGAGTAGTCTCTTATAATTCTTTTTATAAGCAACAGGGGGAAGGAAGGAGGAAGGTCCTGACACTGAGGGCAGTTAGACCTTAAGATAGACACAGTAAGAGCTGCCGATGCTGGAGTCAGAGTTAACACAGTGTTGGAGCTGGAGGAACACTGCAGGCCAGGCAGCTTGGAGGAACACGAAAGTTGACATTTCGGGTCGGGACCCTTCTTCAGAAATAGGGAGGGGGGTGGGAGCTCAGAAATAACTAGAGAGCGGAGGGGTGGGGCTGGGGAAGGTAGGTGAGATGGTGATAGGTGAGTGCAGGTAGGCAGTGGTCAAGATTGGTCAGTGAGGTGGGAGGAGCAGATAGGTGGGAGAGAAGATGGACAGGTTATGTCAGGTCAAAGAGGCGGGGATGAGAGGGAGGGTTGGTCATGGGATGATGCCGGGGGTGGGGAGATTTTAAAACTGGTAAAATCCACGTTTAGGCCATTGGGCTATAGGCTCCCAAGGCAGAATATGAGGTGCTAATCCTCCAGTTTGTGGGTGGTGTCATCATGACACTGGAGGAGACCCAGGATGGACATGTCGTCTAAGGAGTGGGAGGGAGAGTTAAAATGGTTCGCAACCGGAAGGTGTTGTCGTTTGTCCTGAACAGAGCGCAGATGCTCTTCAAAATGGTCTCTGAGCCTCCGCTTAGTCTCTCTGATGTAGAGGAGGCCACATCGGTAGCAGCGTATGCAGTAGACCACATTGATGGATGTGCAGGTGAATCCCTTGTCTAATGTGGAAGGTTTGCTTTGTGTCTTGAATGGAGGTGAGGGGGTAGGTGTAGCACTTCCTGCGAGTTAGTGGGGAGTGTGGAGCGGACAAGGGAGTTGCGGAGTGGTCCCTACGGAAGGTAGATGGGTTGGGGACGAAAATATATCTTTGGTTGTGGGGTCGGATTGCAGGTGGCGGAGAATGATATGTTGGATGCGGAGGTTGGTGGGGTGATATGTGAGGACAAGGGGGATTTGTTTTTGTTGGGGGGAGGGGGTGTGAGGGCAATGGTGTAGGAAAGGTAAGGGATGTGGTTAAGGGCATTTTCGATCACTGGAGGGATGAAGCTGCAGTTCTTGAAATAGGAGGACCTCTGGGATGTTCGGGAGTGGAATGTCCCATCTTGAGAACAGACACAGCGGAGGCAGAGGAATTGGGAGTAGGGGATCGCATTCTTTCAGGAAGGTGGGTGAGACTCGCCCCCACACCCAGCTCCCAACTCTACACCCGGTTTCAACCCCAAGCCCTGCCTGGTATTCACCACCCCCCCCCTCCCCCACCACCCCCACCACCCCTCCCCCCCCCCCCCCCCCCCAACTGAGGATGAACGGTCAGTCCTCAGTAAAGGACTCACTTTCATCCCCCTCCACCCGAACATCAACGAATACCGCTCACGCCTGGACATCGAACAGTTTTTCCGCTGCCTCCGCCTCCACGCCTATTTCTTTAACCGCAAGTCTAACCCACCCTCTACAGACCCCTTCTCCCACCTCCAACACACCCCCTCCTCCTGGGCATCACCCCAAGGCCTCCTACCCTCCCTCAACCTCTTCATCTCCAACTGCTGTTGCGACATTGATCGCCTCAACCTCTCCACCCCTCTCACCCACTCCAATTTCGCCCCCCCAAGGAATGTGCTGCCCTCCGCTCCCTCCGCTCCAACCCTAACCTCACTATCAAACCCGCAGACAAGGAAGACGCAGTTGTAGTATGGCGCACTGACCTTTACATCGCCGAGGCCAGACACCAGGTCTCTGACATCTCCTCCTACAGCCCCCTCGATCATGACCCCACCCCCGACCACCAAAACATCATCTCCCAGACCATCCACAACCTCATCATCTCAGGTGACCTCCCGCCCACAGCCTCCAACCTCATCGTTCCCCAACCCCGCACCGCCCGTTTCTATCTCCTTCCCAAAATCCACAAACCTGACTGTCCCAGCTGACCCATTGTCTCTGCCTGCTCCTGTCCCACTGAACTTACCTCCGCTTACCTTGACTCTGTTTTCTCCCCCCTGGTCCAGGAACTCCGCACCTACGTCTGTGACACCACCCACTCCCTCCACCTCCTCCAAGACTTCTAATTCCCTGGCCCCCAGCACCTCATCATCACTATGGATGTCCAATCCCTGTACACTTATAACCCCCATGCAGATGGCCTAAAAGCCCTCCGCTTCTTCCTTTCCTGCAGGCCTGACCAGTCCCCCTCCACCAACACCGTCATCCACTGAACCGAACTAGTCGAGTGGCTTACTCTTAACTAATACTTCTTTAACTCTTCCAACTTCCTACAGACTAAAGGGGTGACCATGGGTACCCGCATGGGCGCAAGCTATGTCTGCCTCTTCGTAGGAAACGTGGAACAGTCCCTCTTCTGCTGCTACACTGGCGCTAACCCCCACTTCTTCCTCCGCTACATTGATGACTGTATCGGTGCTTCCTCGTGCTCCTCCAAGGAGCTTGAACAGTTCAGCAACTTAACTAACACCTTTCACCTGGACCATCTCCGATACCTCTCTCTCCTTCCCGGACCTCTCTGTCTCCATCTCTGGTGACTGCCTTGAAACTGATATCTATTTCAAGCCCACTGACTCCCATAGCCACATAGACTACACCTTCTCTCACCCACCTTCCTGCAAGAATGCGATCCCCTACTCCCAAAGCCTCCGCCTCCACTGCATCTGCTCCCAAGATGGGGCGTTCCACTCTCAAACATCCTAGATGTCCTCTTACTTCAAGGACCACACATCCCCCCCCTCTGGTGATCAAAAATGCCCTCAACTGCATCTCTTACGTTTCCCACACCTCTGCCCTCACATCTCCTGCCCCCAACAAAAATAAAGACAGAATTCCCCTTATCCTCACATATCAGCCCACTAACGTCCGCAACCAACATATCATTCTCCGCCACTTCCGCCACCTACAATCTGACCCCACAACCAAAGAGGTATTTCCCTCCCCACCCCTATCTGCTTTTCATAGGGACTGCTCACTCCATGACTCCCTTGTCTGCTCCACACTCCCCACTAACCCCGGCACCTTTCCCTGCAACCGCAGGAAATGCTACACCTGCCCTTACACCTTTCCCCTCACCTCCATTCAAGACACAAAGCAAACCTTCTACATTAGACAGGGGTTCACCTGCACATCTGCTAATGTGGTCTACTGCATCCACTGCTCCCGATGTGGCCTCCTTTACATTGGTGAGACCAAATGGAGGCTAGGAGACTGATTTGTAGAGCATCTGCCCTCTGTTCAGGACAAATGACAACACCTTCTGGTTGTGAACCATTTTAACTCCCCCTCCCACTCCCTCGGTGACATGTCCATCCTGGGCCTCCTCCAGTGTCACAATGATGCCACCGGCAAACTGGAGGAGCAGCACCTCATATTTCGCCTCAGGAGCCTACAGCCTGATGGCCTAAACGTGGATTTTACTAGTTTCAAGATCTCCCCACCCCCGGCCTCATCCCATGACCAACCTTCCCTCTCATCCCTGCATCCTTGACCTGACACAACCAGTCCATCTTCTCTCCCACCTATCCGCCCCTCCCACCTCACTGACCAATCCCCACCACTCCCTATCTGCACTCACCTATCACCATCCCACCTACCTTCCCCAGCCCCACCCCTCCTCTCTCTATTTATTCCTAAGCTCCAACCCTGCTCCCATTTCTGAAGAAGGGTCCCGACATGAAATGTCAACTTTCCTGCTCCTCTGATGCTGCCTGGCCTACTGTGTTAGACCTTGAGA